GCCCTTACGCCAGCCAAGGCCAACCGGGACGCGCTGGTTTCTCGGGCGAGGCGACGCGCCCCCAGGCTGAGCAGCTGGCCTCGCTGCGCCCCGCGGCGCAGGTGAGGAGACCAAAGTGTGGGGAGACTCCCAGCGGGACGTGGGCTGCCAGGACTCCCACCCCTGGGCCAGGCCGAGCCCCCAGTCAGCCCGTGCAGACCCACCCGGCGCTGCCTGCCCGCCCGCCCGCCCGCGGCCCCCTGCAGGCGCAGCAGGCTCGGGGTGGGCGCCAGGGCCTCTGACAGGGTGGGCACAGTCCATTGGGCGCAGAAAGCGCAGAGGTGACGCTGCCCATCGCAAGGCCAGGCCCCGCAGCTGGCCGCTGCCTCCCGGAAGCAGCAGGACAAACGGGAGGCGGTGTCCATTCTGCTGGCCAGCGTGCTGCCCTCAGGCCAGCCCCCCTCACACTCCCAGGGCAGCCTCAGGCTCAGCAACCAGGCAGGCAGGAGGGCCAGGCGTCGGGGTGCTGTGACTGAGCTGGGCGCAGGAGGACACTGCTGGGAGGGACGGATTTTTCTAACTGGGGGAAAGGAGGGAGGAAGGGGGTTCTCCCGTGGCTCAGAGCTACACCCTGAGCTGGGCGCTGCGTTCCGGGGCGTCATGTTGGCTTTAACGCCGGAGTGGGGTGAGAGGAAGTGCTGGGGGGCGGGCAGCGCCCTTGGGGGCCATCGGAGCTCGCTGGGCGCCTGGGTGTGCCCCCGCCTGGCTGGGGAGCATCAAGCCCAGCGTGGGAGGGCCCCACAGGCGCCTGGGCACCGCGGCCTCCACATGCTCCAGCCTGGGCCCTACGGAGCCTCAGCCCCGGTCATGCCCCACGTGCCAGGAGCGGTTGGGTCAAACCCAGAGGGCGACGCTGGGCGTGCTGGCCTCTGCGAGGGTCGCGTGCCTGCTCGCTAGCGGGGCCTCCGAGGGGCGGGCGGAGTTGCCGGCACCTCTGATCTGCGGGAGCCCCACGCCCCGCAGCCTCCAGGCACCCGCCAGGAGTTCTCCTGAACCTCCGCCACCCCAAAGGCCCCCACACCCCAGGGTGTGGCCCCCCCACAGCATGGGCTCCTGGGGCGGTCGGAAGGGCAGAGTCCTGGGCCAGGCCTGACGGGGCATCCGCGGGCAGGGCACCCGGGGCCCGCAGCAGGCACGGCTCTGCTCTCGCCCTGCCTTTCCAGCCAGGCGGGCTCCAGGCCTGCGTCCAGGGCCAGGAGCCAGGGCCACCAGCCCGGACAGGCCTGCGCCGCCGGGCCTGTGAGCAGACCGGGGCTCTTCGGCCAGACACCAATGCCCCCCTCTTGGGAACCCCGAAGTCAGTTCAAGCTCCCAGGGAAAGTCGGTGGCGGTCATTCACAAGGTCAGCGACCACCTTCAGCAGCCCTCCCGCACCCCCACGCCCAACAGGGCCGGAGGGAGTCAGGAGGGGCCAAGAGGGGAGAAGCCTTTTATTGAGATTTCGCTACATAAATAGCCACACGGCGCTATGGGGTGGAAGGGAGCACGGCGCCCTCCCTCTAGGACGCGAAAGCTGGGGGTGGGGGGCTGAGGGGTGCTGTGTGCAGAGTACCCTGATGGGGGAGGGGCCCAGCCAGCGCCCCGGGGCGTCACTGCGTCAGGGCCTGGACCACATCCTTCACCAACATGGTGCCAATGACCATCTTCTCGCTGTTGACAGTCAGCTGGGAAGCGCCGGTGGGCCGGGCATCGAGGGTCAGCAGGACCAGGCTCCCGCTGGTCAGTGTCCTCCCTGCAAACCTGAGAGGGAGAGGCGGGGCTCAGGCTGGGTCCTGCCTCAGGAGCCCCGCCCTGCCAAACCTGTGGACGCGCACCTGTACCCATCAGATGTCCCACAGGGGACGCGGCCCAGGTTGGCGGTGGCGGTCACTTTCAGCACCACGGCGTGGTCACTCCGACAGGCGTCCGGCAGCGTGAGCTTCTCAGTGATCTCGTTCATGCCCGTCAGCTTGCCTGGGGGAGTCACAGCGGGCAAGGCGTGAGCGTCCCCAGGTCCTCCACCGGGCAGCCTGGAGACGCCTCAGCGCCTTGAGGCGGCGCCAGGACCCTCGGCCCCCCATCACTTGTTGACCGTAGAGCGATCTGGACATTCCCGCTGTAACCGCCTGGGCTGCCGCCTGGCAGGAGAGGCACCTTGGTGTGGCGGGGCGGCCCTCCCACGGGCCAGCTCCTCAGGGCCCCCGGAGCCCACTCCCCCCGGAGGCTCTGCCTGTTCGCTCCTTCTCTCTCCCCTTCTCGGAATGGCAGATGGGCCCCGTCCCTCCCCTGCCGTCTCCCAGGACGGCCTCCCCCGTGACCACCACCTCGAGGCCCCCGCCCGAGCCCCCACGCGGCCTCCAGCCTTCGCCCCGGCTCTCCTGGTCTTGTCTTCGCCTCCCGGGCCTGGGCTGCAGAACATGTGAGCTCAGGCCAGGACGCACGGGGCGGGCGCAGCCTCCCTCCTCCAGCCTTCAGGGTCGCCTGCCCTGCTGGGAATGGACGCCCCACCCCCCCACGCCTCTGCGGCCCTCTGGGACTGAAGTCCTGAGTGTGGCATCCAGGGCTTCCAGAAAGGAGCCCAGACGGCGCATGTTCAGCGTTGTGCTCACGCCCCTTGACACGATCTGGAGCCCGAACAGACCCGCGAACTCCCACACC